GCTCGGTTGGCATTGTTAGCGCCGGTGAGGATAAGAGGATTCAGATCAACCGGGGTGAAGGCGTATTGTCTTCCGCATAAGAGGAGTTGCACATATGGTTCTGGCGTTATACTTATAGGATGAAAAGTTTGGTTCTGACTCTTTGTACTAAACAAGCCGCTGTACGAGCTGATGTTTCCACTTGCAATATATCATATAATTGCTCTAAGAGGCAGCATGGAATCGCTATTATGATCTCCTTATAGTCTCAATGTTTCATTGTCTACATAAAATACATCTCCAGGGTGGAGAAGGTCAAGCCAGAACATTAATTTACAAAAGCAGGTTTATAACGCCATTCCATGCCCCAACTGAAACGAAGCCCCAAGACCACTGGGGTCAACAAATGAATCATCATGTTAACCTCACAGTCTTCTTTCCATACGGTTGAGCTTGACAGCAGATTTAATCTAGAAATCATGTTAGTAAAATTCTTGCTTTGTGCAGTACCCCACGACCACATCCACCAGCGAAGTGCTCCAACATTCCCTGGTATCATAGTTGGAGATATTTAAATATGGGTGCAAACCAACCTGGCTCCTCGTCCGCTGTCCCCGAACGGGCAAACCGAGCGCATGACGCCGACCACGGTAGGTTCCAGTCTCCTTCAGACGCTTGATGTTATCGAGGTACTGTCTGCGGAGGTCGTTCTCAATCTTCATATCGGACAAGGCGGCCGTGATATCCAGGACCTGCTTGTTCGCCAAGTCGCCAACCTTGCATGTTGGGTGGATATGGAAGCGGGCAAGCAGACGGGTCGAGGTCAAGTTACCGATGCCGAAGAAGGACTCAAGCGATTTCTGAATTCAGTCAGACCAGGCGTTGAAGGAAAGATGGAAGTTCGGAGTTGCTTGCCTTGACGAGGTTTCGCTCGGGGAAGTTAACGCCCAAAATGAAAACCTGATTGCTTATTAGCCACACATTTGAGGAAAATTTTTATACTGGCATAGTGTTAATACATACCATCTTGACGGTTTGGCTTGTTCAATGCTCCAGGGGATGTGATATGGCTCAAAATGCCTATGCGCTGCGCTATTCTTCTATCAACCTCCGCAGTCTGGCTCAGTTCAGCGCGGAAGAAATCGTGGAGTAACAATGTTTCTCCGAACAAAACAGCGTAATTTTTAGTTCTGCATACAGGAAATACACCCTAACTCTTCCGCGGTTGCGGTGCAGTGAATGTTAAATTTCAAGTACTAACTGCAAAGATACAGTCATACTAATCCCGATACGGTTATGGTGCTCTTGGCATCTCCGCAGTAATGCAAGCTGGCCTCCATTCGCCGCATGATTGCTCCTTGAGTCTCCTGTGTTCTCAAGCAATTGTTAGAATTCTCCTACATTGGAGACATCCTGAGCAATCATGAACTTCAAGAACCTTTTCCTGTCTTTCTTCTTCGTCCTGGCGGTTGGACTTGCTCTTGTCCACGCCGAAGAGGCTCAGCCCCGGGGTCCCAAGATCACCAGTAAGGTATGTATAGATGTGATCTTCGGCACTTACAACCATTGTGAATTGCTTTCCAAGTATGACATACTAACTGCATTTACATACAGGTGTTCTTTGATATCGAGCACGGAGACAAGCCTCTGGGCAGAGTCGTGCTTGGCTTGTATGGCAAGACTGTCCCTAAGGTACGTGATCGTCGTCATGCTATTGTCACTCGGAGCTCCTAGACTGATAATATTACTTTTGCTTTTTTAGACCGCTGAGAACTTCCGGTATGATTTCACGAGCTCAATGAAGCTTCTGCGCCATTCTAACATTGCTCGTATTCAGTGCTCTCGCTACTGGTGAGAAGGGGTTTGGCTATGAAGGATCTACCTTCCACCGTGTCATCAAGGACTTCATGATCCAGGGTGGTGACTTCACTCGTGGCGATGGTCAGTACTACAAGGATCTTTATGACATGTGTACAATGCTCCCCCATATGCTGACACTTCATACGAAAGGTACTGGTGGAAAGTCTATCTACGGTGAGAAGTTCGCCGATGAGAACTTCAAGCTGAGGCACACGCGCAAGGGTCTGCTGAGCATGGCCAACGCCGGCAAGGACACCAACGGCTCCCAGTTCTTCATCACCACCGTTCCTACACCGTAAGTCCGTGCCAAACCTGTATAGCGATGACAGCCAGCTTACGATTTCGGGATAGTTGGCTCGATGGCCGCCACGTTGTCTTCGGTGAAGTGCTCGAGGGCTACGAAATTGTCGCTCAGATCGAAAACGTGCCTAAGGGCCGTTCTGACAGACCCGTGGAGACTGTCAAGATCGTCAAGAGCGGAGAGCTGGAGTCTGAGGACAAGGCTGAAGAAAAAGGTAGCAGCCACGAGGAGCTGTAGACCTGTTTCCTGAGGTCTCAGCCTGCTTCTCGATAAGACTGTGATATGCTGATAGCTTGTAAAGAAACGAGCTCTGAAGAAGAGTCACAACCTTCAGCAATTGCTGTTGTTCCTTCTCCAACCCCTTTGCCTATGACATCTGATAACGCTCCTTATATCTTCCCGAAATTCGCGGCGCTTGCCATTGTTGTCGGTCTGTTGGTCGTCCTGGTCCGACGCAGCTTCAAGGGAGAACAGGAGAAGGCCGAGAGGAGCATTGTTTAGAAAAAGATTGTACTCATCCAAATACATGGAAAGAATTGCTCAGTAATTTTACCCTCTGCTGCAGCTCGTACTCTACATCTTCCTTGCAGTGTACGACTACAAAGTACTGCAGGCCGTATTCAAGTGCCACATGACGAGCCGACGCATAACCCACGCCCTAAAACAGCCGTGGCAAGCGCGCCAGGAGCAAGTGCTGTGAGATCATCTTCCAGTGGCAAGTAAGAGAAAGGCTTGGCCTTCGGTTGGGCCAACGAAGTACTTTTGTGGTAAGCTCCACTGGCAGGCAGCGGCAAGGATGCGCCCACCACCTAGACTACCTTTGGAACAGTTCAAGTACTCCTGCCACCCCTAACCATTTAGTACTTTGTTAGTCAATGGTATGATAGGCACCGTCCAGTAGGAAAGTTTTCTCGGCGATAAGATTTGCTCGTTGCCTACCATACTTCACCGACCCCACGCTGACGATCTGAGTGGGAGACCATTCCACCTGCGGAGTAAGGTTATTTCCTCCCAGGAGTAACGCCATTCCACTGAGGTTCCTCTGCGGTCATTGGGACTTGGGGATTTACAATGTCTAGCTTGCTTTCAGCATGACCGTCACGAACTATGGAGTTCATAGTCTGACTTCGAATATAAAGATCCGTTCAACCGGGTGTAAGTAACAAACAGGTGACCTGTTATATACAGCAGTTGGGCATGGACAGCATGAACGACAACAGTACTATCATCATCCAAGGCCTCTCAACGGGGATTTAGTATGCACAATGATGCTTGAATCACGTCAATCCTGGAGTGCAAGTGCCCACTTTTTGGCGTTGTAAGCCTAGTATGGGACGATCATACTCCGTACTGTAAGACATATTCTTGTATGCTGTGGTCAGGAGTTAAGGAATACAATTCCATACATTGCTACAGTCAGAAGTTCTGATCACCGAGGATCAGTCAACATACCAGGACGCAGAAGCCGATCAGTTTCCACGATACAGCGCAACGTTGACACTGTAAAAAAGGAATACGCCGGAGGCGAAGTATACATCGCCATGGCCGGGCTGCCAAGTAAGGATGCGCTTGGCTGGAGAGGGTACATCACGTGGCCGTGACAGTATCTACGGGGGGAGGCGAGCCTGAGGCAAAAGGCAGAGTTTTTTTAGACCTCGTCAGATTGGCTCAAACCGGATCAACTGGTGAACAAGTCGCTGCTACTAGTACCCAAGATAGTATAGAATGTGGGATTTCGGCCAACAACCCTAGGATCTTGCAGCTGGCCAAAAGTTCCAAATAGAAAATGTATTATGGCTTCTAGTCGAATCGACAGCGTTTCAATGCGGAAAGTTCCTTGATCTTGATCAGAGTTTTACACTTTTTAATCCATGAATTGTTCTTGATCCGGTTGACCAAAGGGAACAAGCAGAGACAGCGCGAGAAGGAACTTCCAGCAAGTGAGTAGTGACGGAGGTACAACAGGGCCAAAATAGACAGGGCCCAGCCCATCATCATCTGGCAACACAGGCAGAACCGCCAGAACCAACTACGCCGCCACTCTGTTTCGTTTAGCCTTTTTAGAATTTTCTCTGGATTTTTCCCATTCCCCCTTCCTGTTTGGTGCAATGGCCGTTTGGCCTGCGCTGGCCGGCTTGCCCTCCTGCTGCTGCTTCCCTTCGCTTCTTTTTTGCACGCTGAACCTTTTTTTCTCACCCGGACCGTCCCCAATAATCCCATCGCCGGGCTGCCAATAAGCAAGCAAAACCTTCCCAGTGCGCAGGCCTGCCAACCACTGCCAGTGCATTATTCCCTTAGTTTCGTAGTCATCGTCTTTGCCTCTCCTCCCCGTTCTCCGTCCCACAAACCTTCTTCCTCTTCCCTACTTCTTTTCCTCCCATCCCCTCTAAACCTCCCCTCCTAATCCAGTCTGGTTTCAATTTTTTTTTCTCCAATATCTCCACATCATATCCTATTCTCTTCCCCTTCCCCCCCTTTTTTCTTCTCTTTTTCTACACCGTAATAGAGGTTAGATCTGGGAGATCGTCTTGTTCTTCGTTTAGTATTCCTCCCCAAGGTCTTTCTTTACCCTGTTCCTCTTTCTCGCACTGTGTTACTCTTATTGATCCCCTGTGTATTGCCACTCGATAGAGACGCGGGGACTTTTTACTTCACTTTTTCATTTTCTTTCCTTTTGTCCTGTACAGAAGAAAAGAAATTTGCAGTGTTCGCCCGCAAGGACAACATCCGCTAAAAAATCGCTTTGTTCAACTACCAGCATAGTACGTTTTTTTTCTTCTTCTGTGCCGGCTCCTTTTAACGACATCCAACGCGTTTTGCTCATCTGTCTTCGGTGTCCACAGTTCGAAATACCGCAAATATGGCCGACAGCTTGAAGATGGGAAACCTTTCCCTCAACGAGTCTCAGCACGCTCCTGCCGCTGCCCCCAACACGGGTCGCGCCGCTTACATCCCTCCCCATCTTCGCGGACGCCAGATGGGTGGAAACATGGACGGTGCTGCCGCTGCCCCTCCCCCCGGTCCCGCCGCTGGCCCTGGCAACTCCTGGGGTGGTCCTAGGTATGTGATCTTGCATCACGGGCGTGTCCCATTTCGCGTTGTGTGTAGTGACTAACTGGCATGATTTTGCAGAGGCGGCCCTCGCGGTGGTCAGTGGGCCAACGCCAACGCCCCCGATTTCAGCCCTCGCGGTCCCAATGGTAACACTAGCTGGAGCCCTCACGAAGCTCGCCGGCCCTTTAATCCAAATGCTTACGGACACCCAGGTCACGGAGGCTCTTATGGAGGAAGTGGAGGTGGTTCTGCCCGAGGCTCTGGAGATGGCCAGTGGCGTGACGGCAAGCACATTCCCGGTCCTGCCAATCCCCGTCTCGAACGCGAGCTTTTCGGTCTTCCCAACGATCCCACCAAGCAGAACACCGGTATCAACTTCGCCAATTACGACGACATCCCCGTGGAGGCCTCTGGTCACGATGTCCCGGAGCCGGTCAACGCCTTCACCAACCCGCCCCTGGATGACCACCTGATTGAGAACATTAAGCTCGCCCACTACCAGACTCCCACCCCCGTCCAGAAGTACTCCATCCCCATTGTCATGAACGGCCGCGATTTGATGGCCTGCGCCCAGACTGGTTCCGGAAAGACTGGTGGTTTCCTCTTCCCTATTTTGTCTCAGGCTTATCAGAACGGTCCTTCCGCTGCTCCTGCCCAGGCTGGCGGTCAATTCGGTTACGGCCGTCAACGCAAGGCGTACCCGACCTCCCTCATCCTGGCCCCCACCCGTGAGCTTGTTTCCCAGATCTTCGACGAGGCCCGTAAGTTCGCCTACCGCTCCTGGGTCCGCCCTTGCGTTGTGTACGGTGGTGCCGATATCGGTTCCCAGCTCCGCCAGATTGAGCGCGGATGTGATCTTTTGGTCGCTACCCCTGGTCGTCTTGTCGATCTTATCGAGCGTGGCCGCATCTCTCTGGTCAACATCAAGTACCTGATCTTGGATGAGGCCGATCGTATGTTGGACATGGGTTTCGAGCCCCAGATTCGCCGCATCGTGGAAGGCGAGGATATGCCCCACGTGAATGACCGCCAGACGCTGATGTTTTCGGCCACTTTCCCCCGTGACATCCAGATGCTGGCTCGCGACTTCTTGAAGGACTACGTCTTCCTGTCCGTCGGCCGTGTCGGATCTACCTCTGAGAACATCACCCAGAAGGTTGAATATGTCGAAGACCACGACAAGCGCTCCGTCCTCTTGGATATCCTCCACACTCACGGCACTAGCGGCCTCACCCTCATCTTCGTCGAGACTAAGCGTATGGCCGATTCTCTGTCCGACTTCCTTCTCAACCAGCGTTTCCCCGCCACCGCTATTCACGGTGATCGTACCCAGCGTGAGCGTGAGCGTGCTTTGGAAATGTTCCGCTCCGGCCGTTGCCCTATCCTTGTTGCCACTGCTGTTGCTGCTCGTGGTCTCGATATCCCCAATGTCACCCACGTCATCAACTACGACTTGCCCACCGACATCGATGACTATGTTCACCGTATTGGTCGTACTGGTCGTGCCGGTAACACTGGTATCGCCACTGCTTTCTTCAATCGTGGCAACCGGGGTGTTGTCCGCGACCTGATCGATCTTCTGAAGGAGGCTCACCAGGAGGTCCCCTCGTTCCTCGAGAGCATTGCTCGTGAGGGCAGCGGCTATGGTGGTCGCGGCGGCCGTGGTGGCCGTGGTCGTGGCGCCAACGCTACCCGTGACATGCGTCGCGTGGGTGGTGGTATGGGCGGTCCTCCCTCCTTTGGCGGCAGCAGCTACGGTGCACCTGGCGGCAGCTATGGTGGCGGCGGCAGCAGCTATGGCGCCCCTCCCTCCTATGGAGGCGGTGGTGGCTATGGCGGCGGCGGCGGCAGCTACGGTGGTGGCTACGGCAACCCCTCCGGCCCTACTGGACCTTCTTCCTGGTGGTAAATTAATCACTAGGGGAAGTTGTGGTCTCTGACGAGGCCGTCGGGTCTGATTGGCTTCTTTTTCTTCATTTGCCTCTCCTTTGACGGATACGATCAGAACGAGTCCTGAGTTCTTCTTCTCTTTCTTCTCATCCCTACTTCTCTCTCTCTCCCTCAGGGCCGGCTTTGTCATGACCGCCACGACATAACCTTAGATGCGTTCTAAGAATCGGTTTTTCTCTGCTTGTTGTCTTTTCTATTTCGTTATTCTCCTATGTGCAGGTGTTTTCTTCTGCTGCTGAGCATTTTATCAATGTTGCCTATTTCATCGTTTTGTTTTAGACATGGGTTTCGATGCGGTCCGATCTCCTTATCTCGCTGCTCGTGGTTATACCCGTTTATAATCGAGAGCATTCGGGTCGGCATTGCATGGATATCATAGAATGCGTTGTCTTTCTCCTGCGACCGCTTCATCAGATACCCTTTTTGTTCTCAGGCGGCCATACGGAGATCCGCTTGAACGACGCGTGCCGAGCGGGGGTGCCGGCTTTTCGTGTTCAGAAAAGTGCTTTTTATGATTTTTCCCTGCTTGGTGCCAGGCAGCTGCATCGACCGTGTCTCGCGAATAGATTTCTTACAGTTTCGGTTTCTCACGGCGGGGTTTCTCTTATTCCGTTTTCTTTTTCCATCCGTGTTGTTGTTTCGTGCTTGGCTTGAGATTATGCTTTACTACTCCAAGCTGTGTTAAGCATACGCACCGGAGTTGGAGAGACATCAAGGTCTGTGTGGCCGTGACGTCTTTCGGCAAGCATTGATCTTTTTGCACGACTTCAAGGAACGATGGGTTACAAAAATGGGAATGCGGGTGATAGAGATAGGTTTCTTCATTGCATTGTGTATGGCGTTAGCTCGAGCTGCTGTGTCCACAAAAATATTCTCTGCACTGGGGTCCGTGGAGGCTGACATCGAATGGGATCTTCTTTTTCTGGTTCATATCTCGGATCCGTGGAGGATGGGAAGTTGCTTTGCTGGCGCTATTTGTGGGTATCATTATATCATGTCAGTAGCAGCTTGGGCTCAACGGTTAATGCCGAAGACGGCCTTGCTTACGGAGACCGCGCGTCTCAGAAATAAGGGAGCTAGCTATTCTCTGTTTAAGTAAAAAAAGTCTCAAGCTCGTTTATGTTGTAACTGAAATGATAATGTCCACCTGGTTACATTATTCCCTCTGCATCTTGGTTTGAAAATACGTAGGCACACATCAGTCAGTATGTATAGGTTATCTAAATCTTGCTTCGTGTCAGAGTATTTTCTATCATAATGCTTTCACACCCATCTTGGGAAAGATGTTCAATCAGTCTAATCCAATGTCTGACGGTGAATGGTGATGGCATGATGGTTGTGGTGAGGCGGGTCTTGCTTGCACTGTGAGCCTATATCGACAGACCAGCTGTTTGATGGAGTGAAGCGTAAAGTCTTTCATCATGATCATACCAGGAAGGGAATGTCTGGATAAAGTAATAAATACTGACGGAACTGCTCATGCGAATGATCGGGTTCCAAGCGCGTGTTAGTTACTTAGTTAACTATACAGGCTACCTTAGTCACTCCCGCGCACGATCGGAGATCAAGCCAAGGGAGAAAGAAGAAAGTCACGGATCGTCCAGGATCACGTTCCCTGCCCACCTCCCAATTTCTTCCCTCTTTCTCAATCTTCCATCCGCGTCAAACTTTCCCAGCTCTTCCATCTCATTATCCCCCTACCTTCTATCACCCACTGGGCGACCACTCTTCCACTCGTTCATCCATTGCGTCGTCCTTGAGCTAACTATCCCATCAATCGCTGTCCCCCTGCGCGGCTACCGCTCTCAGGACACGCCGAGAACGGATCCTTACGTTGCGGTCTTGAGGGCTCCATATTATTACATCCATACGAAAGACCATTGTTTCGTGAAACCACGCGACTTCCGAGATGGCTGAGGTTGAAAGCACCGCCGCGGACGAGTCGTTTGCGCAATCCGAGCCGCAAGATGAGCAGCAAACTCACAACATGACCGTCGGTATTAGGCGTCAGGCGAACGGCACTATCGGGTCTGTCTACTCCGGAAATAAGATTCGACATCTCAAGAAGGAAGACGGCATTCCGCTGTGGCGCAAGGACATCCAGTATCAGTTCCTCAAGCTCGTCTTCGAAGACCAGACTAAGGTCTTTACCCGTTGGCCAGATGGAGAGAAGAACCTGGATTTTGCGGACATCTACATCGACGCTATGGCTAGGAGTAGCAAGACGAGCAAGATCTTGAAGGACAAACTTCAGAACGATAAACAAGCAGCTATCAGCATGGCTATGGTTTGCTTGCTGGTCAATTTCGGAAGGATGAATACCACTCTCAACTGTATGTCCTCCATCCACCTTCAGCTCACAGGCATTCTTTCTGCTTTTCTCCGTCGTTTACTGATATGGACCAGTCTTCCCTGAGATGCGTGCCCAACTGCGGACCTATCACTCCATTCCTTCGCTACAAGCTCACCAAGACCCGAACGCCTACAAGCAGCTCCAAGACGCCCCTCGTCTCAAATCCATTCTCAAGGGTGCTTCGGAAGACGTCGACCAGCCAAACACTCTAGAAAGAATCAAGCGCCATGCAATTCCTCGCACCAACCCGGTAAACCTCATTTTCGTTCTGGCACAATACGCGCCCAAGGTATCTGAAATGCACTTCTTCCCTCCACGCGACTTCTTTGACCTCGTCATGCGGGGCACATTGAGCAGTAAGAGTCGTGCAAAGGCATTCCTATGGTTGATGTGGTGGTACCTGGAAAGTGATTTCAGCGCCGAAGCCGCACGCAACAATCCGTTTGGACCCGGCCTGGACGGTGAAGGAACCGGGGGCTTGCCCATCAAGGTGCCTCAATTTGAAAGCCTTACCGAGGAACAAGCAAACGAGGAAAATGTTGATACTCAGTCTGAGATTGAATATGGAGAGGCTAAGCGCCTGGAACGCAAACGTCAGTTTCACAGACCTTTCTTCGAGTTCTATTTGTGCAATCATTGACACCATCCGCAGGTATTCTGGAGGAAGATGAACCGATTCCTAGAGTGACCAAACGCTCCAAGAAAGGTACGTCTCTGAGATCAAGGTATCATATCCTTCTTTGACTGACATTCCATGGTAGGTTTGCCAGACTTTGGCTATGAGGAAGATGGCTCGGGAGATGTTTCGGGTAAGTCTGTCCAGCAAAATTCTCAGGCCTCCCAGTTTACTAATCTGATTATCATAGGTCGAGGCGATGGCCGCGGTTCTACTATGTCAACCCCCCTACATCCCTCTTCCAAGCGCTATCCGCAGGATGATGAGGATGATTATCAAACTCCTGGACAGTCTGCCAGGTCTCGTTACAAGAGACCTAAGCGGGAATCTTCCCTCAACCGTTCTGTTGGTCAGCAGCGTCTCATCTTAAGAACCAAGATGGAAAACACACCTGACGCTGCTTCTCCAGCTCCTCCAGGCTCTGGCCATCCCATTTTAAATCGGTTCGTCGCAGATCCTACCTTACCTCAGCAGTCTTCTTCTCGCCGTCCCCGGCCCCTTACGCAGCACCAGCTCGCTGTTGAGCAAAATCGGCGACAGCGAATTGAATATCTTCTAGCCAAGCGGAAGAATGAGGCATATCGTGTCTTGCGTGCGAATCGAGAGAGCGAGCTACCGCTCGTCCGTCACGGTCGTCTATTATCAACCCTGCCTGATGATTATGATACGGACGATGAGGAGAGATCGTGGGGCAAAGGCGGGCTTATTCCAAAGCCGGAGGAAGAGGAAGACTTTGGTGAATGCGCCAGCTACTACCTGTCTGTCATTCGCAAGGCGGCCAGGCGCTTGGACCGATGGGATTATGATGACGCCAACGGCCCGAAACGTGACCGCAAGAAGGAAAGAGAGCAACGTCAGAAGGCAAGAGAGATCAGATTGGCCATGGAAAACTCCTCAGACCTTGCTGGGCGCGTCCCGTCTTCGGCCCGTAGCAGAGCCCGCGCTGCACGCAATGCTAAACGCAAGCTTGCTGGGGCAGCATCTGGTGCCTCGGCTACAGAGTCCAAGGAGCAAGGCGCATCGACATCGCGTTCTAAAGCTAACAGGAGCCGTGCTCAACGTGATGCTGGAGATGGTGAGACAGCCAACCCCGATGCCACTAAGGATGGTCTCGAAGTGCCATCCCGGGATCAGGAACTCTCCCCGATGCCTGGATCGGCCCAGATGGGCGATGAAGACGGAGACATCGAAGGTGAGGAAGGACTTGACGATATCGACCGTGAAATTCTGGGAGAAGGAAGTGGAGAGGAGGATGTCGGTACGACACGCAAGGCTCGTACATCTCGCCCTGCCGAACTTGGCTATGAGGACAGCTTTATTGGCGACGGAGGTGATCCAGATGAGGAAGGTGAGGCACTCTCATCCGATGAGAACGACGAAGAAGCCGACGACGATGATCTCGATGAGGGAGAAGGGGAAGCCGATGGTGATGATAACTCCTCTACCATGGAAGGTGGAAACGGATATGCTGCCAGTGAGACTTCTTCGGTCGCTGGAGATGCTGCCGAACCAGCCACTGAAGCTGGTGGCGAGACAGCAGAACGAGAAGATATGAAAGATGAGGTTATGGAAGATAAATAAGTCATATGTCTGTGGGCTACGCAGCAACCGCCATGGAGCTTGTTAATTCGCCTTGCGGTTTGGTTGCTCTATCAACTACATCCATTTCTTATGTCTAATGTGCCGTATCTAATTTGGCAACGCTTTTTCAATGTGTCCCTTCATATGTTGTATTCTGTTCCCCTCCCTTTTCTGTATTTCCTTTTGCACTTATTAAACCCACGGGGATTGAGACTAGCTTGATACAATACATTATGTTACTATTATTAGCTCGAAACCTGTTCGCCTTCGATAGTTGTGGCTTTCCCATCCAAGCTGAAAGTCTGTCTCAACTCCTTGTTTAAACAGAGGGCTACTATATGCGGAGAACTATTCATGAAATTGCGTCGCCATGGAAATGCAAGCGCCGCACCTACAGGGAGTCTTTCTGGTTGCTCGGAGTTACTCGCAACATTTCCCACGTTCTGAACAGTACGACTACTGGGAGTAACATACTAGATTCTAACCTCCTATTCTACGCCTTATAGTGGGTGTTGCTCTGCCTCGGTTCCCGGACCCCCATAACACTTTTCTTATGTTCACTCTGAAGTATATATAGAGAGTGCTCTGCACGTTCGGCTCACTCTGGCAGTAAATCCTGGTTGTATTGGTAAGAAGGGTAGTCAGCGGTTTCACTAATACTGATACTGACATCTACTGTACACTAATTGGAACGTGATCTTGCGTCCAGATACCTGTGGCCAAGCTCAGCCCAGTATGATATCGTGCGGGGTGTACATGTTAAGCTGCATAAGTAGCGGGGACGGTCGTATTAGAACAAGTATCATCCGCCCAAGACAGCTCTGAATGGCGTCACTACTAATGATAGACACGTCCAAGAGGAGATATCATTGGAGGTATGATTTCCAATGCAGGGTGAAACTACGGTGACACACTTGGTGTAATAGTCGGTGCACAAGCTCGAGGGGAAAGAGGAGGCTGTGACGTGGAAGCTGCTCTTTAGTTGGGTGAGTTGACGTCCCTGAGTCAAGGATTAGCAACCATGACATTGTGGATTTTCTCCGACTCGATCTCCTCCCGAATTTACATGTGCTAGAGAAGCAAGGGCGTCGAGGGGATCTCCGAAATGTGAGGTTGAGCCAGAGTCAGACGGTATACTGGTACCAGGCCTAGGCCACATCCCTATACTGTGCTGGCCAGACAGACGAGAAATTCAGCCAAGTTTTCAGATGAAGAGTGCGTAGAGACAGAGTATGACTCTGACGGACTCTTCTTGTCATCAAGGAATTGGTTGGGACGAGAGTGTTTTGGCGGGTTCCTTTTTGTGGCGGCAGCTGGAGGTGGTGGAGCTAAGACTGTTTTACATGTGATCGCAGGATGAGCTGCTCATTACGGAGTATGGCTTCCCCCAACATTCCTTCGGCCTCTCTTGCATCCTCACTGCTCCGGATTGTTCAGGGTTTTCTGGCTCTGCACCACTTTGCATTTTTAATTATCCTTACTACACAGGGTCACACCATCCATTACTAACTTTTTCCATATATTATTCAGAAGCAATTGCCATTCATTCTCCCCACTTAGAGGTTCTCAATTCCTTTCCCCCTCAGAGTGTCCTCTGCCGATCCGCCGCAAATCTTGCACCCCCAGTTACTGCCAGTAGTGTTGCTCCACTAGGCCGCTGGCACGAACAGATCTGCCTCCAGCCTCCCCTTTACTATTATTTGGCTGTCTGTGTGCTTGCAGCTCCAGCACGCTCTGGCCTTTCTCTTCTCCTCTCGCCTTCTCCCCCACCTCGGACACGCTCCTTCACGCAGACAGGACAATTGTTCGAAAGGAGTCGACCTACCGATATTTAACCGCGGGTGGGCTGACGGCTGATCTTGCTGGAGCCGGTGGATCACGATATCTGATTACAGTGTCGAGTTGAAGATTTCCCGCGCCTGAGTCAAATAACCACTGCCTCCTTCACGCCTCTTGCTCTCTCTTCTACAGCTCCCTCTCTCCCTTCAACCCTCTCCCCTGAATATCTGGAACCAGCATCCCGCCTAGCATGTCTGACGAGCCTACGATCCTTCGCCCGCGTCCGCGACGTGTGTTCGATCTCACGCCTGAAGAACCCTCTACTCCAGTGGAACCCTCCAACCCAGACCTGCTCGCCGCTAAAGATACCGGCTCTACCAGCGTCAGCCGCAATGCTTCGATCATGAACTTGACCTCCTCGACGCTGTATGGCATTTACTCTCCTACTGCATTTGACAGCTCTCGTGACGACTCGAGTCCCTGGGGGACGGAAGCCCATACGCCTCAAACAGGAAGCCCGAGAATCCAGCCTGAAGCTCCGGCTCCAGCTCCAGGCAAACTTCAGCGGACACGATCACGGCTTAGCCACGGCCTGTTTCGGGGCGTCATCCTTCCGCAGGCGCTGAAGAGCGCCTTCCTCTTGGGCTTTGGCGTTGTCTATGGTGTCATCACAATTCACTTGCATGAGAATCATTGGATCACTCCGGTGAAGTTGGAGAATACACACTACTACGGATCATGGCAGTATCTTGCTTTCTGGGGTGTGGCCGGCGTCGTTTTGGGCAACATTCTTCCTTGGTTCGATCAGTTTTCGGATGAAATTATTGGCAGCCCTAAGCAGGCAAAAGGGTCGAGCGACCCCGAGACTGCAGACCGTACTCTCTCGTGGGTTTCAGTGGTTCGCAGCGTTGGCGCGTTTGTGGGAATTGCATTTGCCATGGTAAGTAAAAACTCAGCAACCCGCGTTCATTGGTTCAATACTAATCCGGCTCTGTATCTTACAGCGCCGACTACCCTGGGAATCTACAACTCAAGCATCACTGACCCTCGCGCTCGTGAACCCCGTACTATGGTACCTCATCGACCGCACACGGACCGGTTTCGTTTTGTCAACCGTTGTTGGATTGGCCGGTATGGGAATAATACTGGGACTCAAGCCTGACTTGATTCCATCTGCAGAGACTTCGGCTTTTGCAGCAAGCAAATTCGACGTCACCGGATGGGGATATGGGCTGGCTGTTGAGATGTCACAGGAAAGCATAGCAGTAAGGACCTGGGTTGCCAGCGTCCTTTTCTGCGCATGCGTCTGCTTTGGAAACATTGGCCGGCAGCTTGCCATTGGAGCCCAGCGCGAGTCGCTAAAGTGACGCGAGAACAGGACCGTACCCCTTCTCATCCCAACATTTAATTGATACCGGGGTCTTGGTATACCCTAGCACTCCACTTTCTTAATGCAGAAATTCTCCTTCCTTTGGCCACGTGCAGTTTCTCAGAGACAAACAAGTCTGTTACTAGATAGATGATCCGTTGGGCCAAAAGCCATGGCGACGAGATTATGAAAATCGACTACGAACTCCGTTTACACGAAGTGAAAATATGGATCAGTTTAGTAGATAATAAGCAGAGTTTGTAGAATCAATCATTGCAGTCCCTTCCACCGAACGTAAGTTCAAGTCAGACACTGCACCCAAGATCGATACTCTGCCAGAGGCAGTTTCTCTCCATTCTGTATGACGATTTCCGTACTTCATCGGCTATACAGACCCCTTAGGGAAAGATATCCTCGCAGGAACGCTTTTTGAAGAATGTTGATTTTGCGTTGTTCATGTAGAAGAAAAGAAAAAAAAAAATTCAAAGCGAAGCGGCCGGGCAAGGCTTTTGTAGTGGAATGTTTGTGGCCTGTGCGTAGATCATGTGATTACACGTGACTATCTGTATCTGTGTATATTTACATTACTAAGCGCATTATGCATAAATAGCCGATGTCAATGCTAAGCCTAATATGGTAAGCACCTGCCGCAGGTCCGTCTGGCGTCTTTCCCGCGGGTTTGGAGCTACGACAGATGGCGGTTAGTAATCGATAGTATCTTGGTCACCCGCCAGGTCCGAAAGCGGCGAAGGACCCCGCGGCGGGACATCGAGGAGAAATTGAGGGAACTTCAATCGACATTGCCTGTGATCAGTCGCAAAGGTAAAGTTATATTATCTCTGCCATTGATCAACCCCCGGTCTGGACGATAATATAACAAATCTGGAGGCCACTATATTCCCCCAATTTCCTCTCATTTTCCAGGTACGTACCTCAACGTTTTCTTTGCCTCGTTCTTGATGTTGCTCGTGCTCTGTGTGCGGAGCTCCCAGTTGATCGTCCCGGAGGGGCTGTGGGGGGGCCCTTTTTATTCGACCTGAACAATTTTTCCCTCTTCATCATTCCTGACTCTGTGCTTCTCTGCTCTAGTGACCTCTTCACTGTCAGTATCTCAGGATGTCTCAACAAAAGTCAGGTAAGTCAATTGATATTTCTTGTCTCCCGTCTTCAATTCTTTTTCTTGATCGGGTACTTTTAGAGACCTGTCAAGTAGTGGACTTGGTCCGATACCTGTCCCCACAATTTGGCATTTCTGTTACTTGCGAGAATTCAGAGTATCTGGGGCTAATTGCATTCTTCAAATCCCATCTATAGCCATCCTTTCCGTCTACGACAAGACTGGACTGCTTGACCTGGCCAAGGGCCTCGTCAAGCACAACGTCCGGTTGCTCGCCTCTGGTGGTACTGCGAGATTGATTCGGGAGGCGGGATTCCCCGTTGAGTGAGTCACCATATTGCTATGGTCATGACTGGGTCTCTCCAGACCTCAAAACTGATGGTCGATCAGAGATGTCTCCGCCATCACCCATGCCCCGGAGATGCTCGGTGGCCGTGTCAAGACTCTTCACCCCGCTGTCCACGGTGGTATCCTTGCCCGTGATATCGAGTCTGACGAGAAGGATCTGGCCGACCAGAACATTGCCAAGGTGGACTTCGTGGTCTGCAACCTGTACCCCTTCAAGGAGACCGTCAACAAGGTGAACGTCACCATCGAGGAGGCTGTTGAGGAGATCGACATTGGCGGAGTCACCCTCCTCCGTGCTGCTGCCAAGAACCACTCCCGCGTTACCATCCTCTCGGACCCCCAGGACTACCCTGAATTCCTCAAGGAGCTGGAAGCCGGTGAGATTACCGACGCCAGCCGCAAGTCCTACGCTCTCAAGGCTTTTGAGCACACCGCCGACTACGACACTGCTATCTCCGGTTTCTTCCGCAAGCAGTATGCAGGAAACGGCGAGCAGTACATGGCTCTCCGCTACGGCACCAACCCCCACCAGAAGCCCGCTTCTGCTTTCATGACTCAAGGCAAGCTTCCTTTCAAGGCCCTGAACGGAGCCCCTGGCTACGTCAACCTGCTTGATGCTCTCAACGCTTGGGCTCTCGTCAAGGAACTCAAGCAGGCCCTCGCCCTGCCGGCTGCGGCCAGCTTCAAGCACGTGTCGCCGGCCGGTGCTGCCGTCGGTGTGCCCTTGAGCGAGAAGGAGCGTAAGGTCTACATGGTCGATGACATTGCTGGCATTGAGTCTTCCGGTCTGGCTCAGGCCTACGCTCGTGCCCGCGGTGCCGACCGTATGTCCAGCTTCGGTGACATTCTCGCCCTCAGCGACGTTGTTGACGTCCCCACTGCTAAGATCATCTCCCGCGAGGTCTCCGACGGTGTCATCGCCGCCGGCTACACTCCTGAGGCTCTGCAGATCCTTTCCAAGAAGAAGGGTGGCAAGTACCTTGTCCTGCAGATGGATGAGAACTATGTGCCTGCTGCGGAGGAGACCCGTACTCTGTACGGTGTTCAGCTCACCCAGCACCGCAACGACATCGTGATCACCCCCCAGAAGACCTTCAACACCGTCATCACCCCCAAGGACCTGAAGGCTCTTCCCGAGAGTGCTCTGCGGGACCTTACCGTGGCAACCATCGCCCTCAAGTACACTCAGTCGAACTCTGTGTGCTACGCTCTGAATGGCCAAATTGTCGGTCTCGGTGCTGGCCAGCAGAGCCGTATCCACTGCACCCGTCTGGCCGGTGACAAGGCAGACAACTGGTGGATGCGCTTCCACGACCGTGTGCTCAACATCAAGTGGAAGCAGGGCACCAAGCGCCCCGACAAGAGCAACGCCATTGATTTGCTCTGCTCCGGACAGACCCCTCGTACCGATGCTGAGAAGGCCGAGTACGAGCGTGTCTTCGAGGAAGTTCCCGCTCCCTTCACCCAGGAAGAGCGCGACGCTTGGCTCAAGAACCTGGGAGATGTTGTTGTCTCCTCGGATGCTTTCGTAAGTCTGCTTCCAATACTATGCGTGACGCTTACTGACCTCAATGACGCAGTTCCCCTTCATTGACAATGTCTTCCGTGCTGCCCGCTCCGGTGTCAAGTACATCGCCGCCCCCAGCGGTAGCCAGAACGACAGCGCCGTCTTCGAGACTTCAGAGAAGCTTGGCATTGTGTTCGTCGAGCAGGGCACTCGCTTGTTCCACCACTAAGCGATGTATTATCCTGTTTCATGTCCAGGGTTTATGTTAAAGCTAGTTGCATGATAACGCTTGTGTCTTCTTCATGAATTTTTATACCTACGTCTTTTACCGGAGGAGATAAGCCTGTAGTAGCGATATCCCAATCAAAAGTGACTTCAAGTGACTCGGCTTAACAGGTGCTGATCAGAAAGCCCACCCTGCAAATAAAACGGCAAGAACGTCGCAAAGCACTACAGCGTCTGTAATAGTAGTCCGGCTCGGTGGCATTAGGTTCAATCTGCAGTCCATATCATAGTATAGAAGTGATCGAAAAAGTTTACCCACTAGATACATTTGATGTTGTAGACAGTGGGTTACTGAAAATAGCAACAATCAAGTGACGCGTCATTGCATATCTAGCTAGATAGCGAATGCAAATCGGTGCATGATGCATGATGGAACTATGTAACTTTGATTTTGTGTCTCACATTGAGTTTGGCGTGTTTTGAATTCAATTAGCATAGTATCTAGTGGACTCCTTGCCTGCTAGGATGTGCCGATGTAGGTACCCGGCTCATTCGGTTCCCCGGAGTCGGTCTCCTTGCTTTATCGAATTTTTACTCGAGTATTGGAATGAATATGGAGGCTGTGGCTGATAGTTTATAGTCAATATTTGTGAGGTGAGATTCTATGTCAATGTTCGCTTCATCAGTTTTGGTGAAGATCATACAAGTTGGTAAAGGTGGATGGTAGACCTCATTTATATATATTGACCAGCATGTGAAAGATTGATGGCCGGTAAGTTCAATTGGCCGAAATGACATTACATATATATAGAGTTGAGGCGCTATGACTATGATATATTCTTGATCAAGCTCATACAGTTGTCGAGAGCAGATAGACGTCCTGGCGTATGTCTCAAGCACCCTGGAGTAGTGGAATACCAAGTGCCCGGTGTCACTATACCTGACGTCATTGTGTGGGTGTCGGAGTATCCGGAGGTCAAGAATACGCGGTACGTACCGCCGACATAACCAACAAAGTGATTATGCCAAACAACTTTTAGCTTACATGGATTTGCCCACAACATTCAATCCGTCAGATGGATTGATTTTATTTTACTAGCTCTGCTGCTGATTCATTGTATCAAGGTTTTGTAAAGTAAAGTCATTAACCGATTTCACGTTAGCCTTCTGTCCTAAAGGCGAAACATATCTGTTGGGAACAGCTACAATTGAAGTCATATCAAAGCCGATAGAAGCCTACAGACAAGCGGGCCATGACCAAACTTGTTCGCAAACAGTTCAACTCCTTGCCCGATGACTTAAACTGGTGACTTTATCATTCCGGGCCACGCTGACAAGCGATTGAGTAGAAGGGGCTATCGATGAAGCCCGTACGTAGTCAGGAATGGTGGGAGATTGTACGTGTGAGAGGATAGAATTGGCTGTTTCTTTCACTGCCGGGTAACACCGATTTCAATTTCTCTGGCCTGGTATATGCCGTGAATGATATGATGAATATCAGTCCAGCAAGTGATCAGTCAGGAAGGACTAACACCAATTGCGGTTTTCTATACGGAACACCCCTTGTGTCTAGTACTGGAGAAAGGTAGAGCAATGTGAAATCTATATCCACCCACATATGTATGTATTCATGCAACTCATAATAGATTCAAGTGAGCTAGCTTACTGAGTTAATACTCATATTTTTCAATTCCCAGGAAAAGTAGTGATTGCCTTCATAACCTGCCATATATTTATTACGCTCCCTATAGAATGGTAGAGAAGGCCACCTGTATACAAGTCAAGGCTTGATGCCCCCACG